ATTGCAGGAGGGAAATTAGAAAGTTTGTGGCAGGAAAGAGGAATACACGTCTTTCTCATGAAAATGATTTTTCTGCATTAATAATAGCAATCTGGACACCTGCTTTCCGATTCACTGTGTGTTTATTTTTAGAAGAGCAGTTTTGTGAAACATTCTGTAATTCCAGGATCCCATTTTTGGTGATTGGCAGTCCCATAAAATGAATAAGTTACGACTTTAAAACTAAGTTCTTGTTTCTGCTAATCACCTCGTTACCACTACGTATCTCGAAAGTTCTTGGATCCAAGTTAGAAATGAGGAAATCATACAAGTGTACAAGACATGTAATATTAGAAGGCACTTCGGAGGGGAAATTGGTGATCAACAGTTGTCCAGCACCCCCAGTACTGGATAGTTTTAGATCTATTTTAATCTCCTTAATAAGTCCTATAGCTATGCAAGTGAGTGCATTTTGATAACTGCTGTGCCTAATTTGTAACAATTACTGTCAACCTTCAGTTAAGAGACTGTTCATTCCACACTGGCCCAGAAAAGAGTGAAATGTATGACTCGTGCGCATAATTTTATTCACATCATATTTCATACTGATTATGTATTGATGACATTGATTCATTTACTCTTTACAGCGCCACTTGCATGGATATTAAATCTTATTGACCACAGATGAATTTTAATTTCAGATTGGTGATAGATTTTTCCATCAGCTCTGATAGTATGTTTGACTTTTTCATCATTAACCCAGGCAATCACACAGCACTGAGTTATTGCATTGAAACAAAAAGTGCACACTTCACTTGGTAATTCTTTATGGATTTACAATAGGAACTTCATTAATGTCTGTTGTAAGGATCACAAAAAAACAACATTTATCTGCAAATAGGAATTTAGCAAGCTTCAAAAGTCTGAGGGAAAAAATACTAGGCTTCTTTGTCTTCTGTAATGTATTTTCGTGATACTATGTATAGGGAAAATGACTAAGATTTGAAAACTTCACCACTTAAGATTATTCTGCAGTATTTGAATGCTTGTATCGTTTTCCCTTATTCAAGTTTATGGAATACTTTTAAATGTATTTCTTTATTAAGTGAATGTTAATTACATCAAAATATTCACACTTCTCTGTTTAATTTGCTAATATGGGGAGCTATATAAAATACCATTCTGAAAATAGAATTCTGATTTTGTATTGCAAATCAACCAACCAGGAGGCATTTCAAGCTTCTTTAACAAATGCCAATACATATAAATACTTATAGATTTTTATAGTTTGAATTTTAATGAAGTGAATCTATTGGGCAGAGTTGAGAACAATGAATAGGTAATATAAGAAATTTGAAGTGCCTATTTCAATTTAGAGACAAAGCCATTTGTACGTTGATAGTCCCCCCACCCCCCAAAATGTGTTAGGAATAAAATAGTTGGTCTCTTCCATATCCCCTTTCCAGTTTAGTAGCTTAGTCTTTTCCCGAGTTATATATTAAGTTTGTTGTTGGTTTCTTATACCATTTCTTTCTCTGACTTAGCAAAGCATGAAGAACTCTTGTTATAGCTCACCAACATGCAGAGACAGGATGGAAAAGGTAGCCAAACTGCAGCTTTGAATTCTGGCAGTAGCAGTATTAACTAGCTACCTGGTGCAAAGGACTAGTGAGAAATATGAGACAGGGTCTCAGCACCATCTTACTGAGGACAGGATGATGTGAAATTAGAGTGTCAGGGAGAGAAATGAGAGGAGAATCTGGTTTACATGTATAGAGAATTGTGTGTATTGTGTTTTTTGTGTAAGTCTTCCATTTTCCATACCTTTTTCAGGATGAAAGAGGTGTTCATTTTGGAACACAAAATACATTAGGCAACAAATAATAACCTACTAGAGTATCTTTTCTTAATGTCAGAAGCCAGAAAGGAGACAGGTGGCCTTCAAAAATTAATAGCTCCTAAAAGGCATGAGGAAATATAACTTAAGGATACGTTCTTGTCAGACACTGAAGAGCAAGCTGTGTTTTGGGGGTGATATTAATTAAGAACATTTCCCTGTTGGCATAAATATCTTACATTTTTTGCCCTTGGAGTTCAGCTCATCGTGAGCACAGTCAATTCATAAGGTAATTTTTGTAAATAAAGGTTTGGGGCAGGCTAAACATGGTCAAGAGAGATATTAATGAGCGGGCAGAGGGGAAGAGGTAATGAAAACACACTTTCTGGTGGAACAAACGGCTTTTTGGACTTGGAGAATGCTTTAAAATGATTTTTCCAAAACTCTGTGGCATTTCTTTTCTGGAGGAGATGAGATGGGGAAAAAAACAGTTAAATATTATTTTCTTCTCTCTTGTTCTCCATGTTTTGGGTCAGGAAAATGAGACATTAGTTTTGGCAGTTTCCTTCTATTTGCAGAACAATGACACTTTTAGTGTACGATGCATAATAAATATGCCCAGTGTCCTCTGGCTTAAAGTAATGGATTGATTATTTGTACATCCTTTCTTTAAAGGCACCTAATTGTGTGGAAAGGATAGGCCCTCCTCATCTGGTCCCTTTGAACTTTTATTCTCCTTGAAATTTGTTCCCGGGATGTGTAGTTTAGTTGTTTTGCATTCTTGGCTTTGGTGTACTCTAAGAAAAATCATTTTAAGCTTTTAAATCATATGGTCTCTTGACTTGAAATCTCGGCCCTCTAATGGTTAAGGATCTATACAGTTTTATAACCTATATCATTTAAAAGAGGCTTGGCTACCCTCAGCATAATAATGCCTTCTAAAGAGGTATGTAAATATAGTCTGGCATTGTGGCTTATTTTTGTGTGTATTTTTTGCCTGCTCTGGAGTTCTTTCTTCCACTCGAGAGTGATGGCTCCATCTAGAATTATTTGTCTTTTTCAGTAGAATAAAAGACTTTTTAGTTGGTGGAAAATTTCGTGAGTTCCAGTTTACGTATCACTTCTCTTTTCCTCCATAGTTACATAATTGGGGGGTGGGGTGTGGGGGGTGTGTGTGTGTGTGTGTGTGTGTGTGTGTGTGTGTGTGTGTGTTTCCATCGTAGAGGACATTTGATGCTCATTTATTAAATATGCTCACTGGCTACTGCCGCATCTTTGTTCTGGACAGACAAATTACCTTTCTCACACTGAGCTTCCACTCTGGGGAATTAAGCCTCCACCACTTTAATTAGCTTGGAAGTGGGGGGTTGCAGTTCCTAATAGACTTCAGCCTTTGAGTAAGTTAGGGAAAGGGTGAGCCCAGAACTTCCTGGGAAGCTCAAAATGTCATTTAAAAACCATAAAAACCTAATATATATTATTTCATTTTGGTAATTGCAAACAGATTGTGTTTGACGACTCTGTGGATCATTTCTAAGTTAGACATTAAAGTTAGACTTCCATTGAACTACGTTCTTTAATTGATTACATCATCAACACATTCATGTTTGATTCACATATTTACAAAATTTTGTGATACTAAGTGATGTAGCAGATAGAAAATACTAAATGAAATGTATCTAAATATGTTTCTGTATATATATATATATATATATATATATACACACACACACACACACACACATATGAATACAGGAATACACACACCCACAATACCTGTTAAGTGAAGAAGGGCATGGATGACCAAATGTCACATGGGCATATTGGAATAATAATGATAATTGCCAGTATTTGTTTGGCTTTTATTAAGTGCTGATCACTGTTGAATATACTCCGTGTATATTATGTAATCCTTATAACAGCCTTATTATGCCTGCTTAAAGATGTGATAACAGAAACACAGACATCATAAGTCCTTGCTAAAGGTTACACATGTGAGCTCGTGTGAACCCACAACTTCCGGGGAAGGGACTTGGCTCTGAGTATCCTTTTAAGATAACTGCTGGTAAGCAAGATTTTCTAATTCACTCTTTTCGGAAAGAAACTTGCTGTTAACAGTGTTAGGCAATTCATCGTAGAACTTTACACCGAAAACTTTCTCAAAGTCCATTTATTGTCTCATTTTCTCTGCTAATAAAACTGTAGAAAATGTTAGGCTTTAGTTCTTCACTGCCAGAGAAAGTAGCGTCAAAAGTGTCCATCAAGTCACAGTTGGGAAGTAATCTAATAAAAGCAGATTAGTGAATGTAGAGAAGACAAAAGCAGTCATGTTTGAGTTTAATATCTCTCAAATTTAGCATTTTAGCTAAGATGCCCGTTTTTATTTCTTGCAGGTCTGCTAAAAGGTCAGAGTAATGCAGAATGCGTGCCTTCATCTCAGATTTTGTTCATCACAGGTGGATCCCATGTGTCTTCAGTAGACAAGTCACCTTTGTAGCTAGCACCAGTGCCAGCTCCATGCCATTGCACCTTCTTTAGTCTTGATTGCCCTTCCTGCATTTATTGGTGTATTAAAATGACTGAATATGAACATTAAGGACTCCATGAACCTGGGCTAATGGGAGACTGTAGAGAAAATGAAAAAAGATCCACCGGAGGACATCTTTGGGGGGGGAGGGAGCTTGGGAGGAGGGAAATGACTAATGAAGCTAATTAAAAGAAGCATTCAAATCTGCTTTCTACCCTCATTAACAATTAGCAGGGCACTGGCCAGAGTTTGTACCCTGTGTTTTACCTTAACAACATTCTCTTTGCTCTTTGTATATTTAAGTGTCGTAAGGAAATGTGTTTCAATCAAAACTGAACATGAGATAAAGGGAAGAGATGTGGCTTTTGTGATATTCTATCACAAACACTTTTATTGTATCTCTGTAAAATACAATGTATGTATGCATGTAAGTGTTTTCGTCCTAATGTTGCTACTCCCATGGCAAAGGAAAAAAAAAAGAACGAAAAAAAGAAAAAAAATTGGAAAAAAAATCAGGCTCATAGCAGCTGCTGTGTAGAAATTTCCCCCTACTTCTAATTTGCTGAATGAAGAAAAAAATCTTTTATTTGTGATATTTTCAGAGACATTTGCTCTAGTATGGTGTATTTAAATAATAAAAACTTAAAAGAAAAAATACTCCATGGAGTTTGGGTTTAAACACTGCTTTTTCTCTTATGTATTTTAGAAAAATTGGTTTTTTTTTTTTTTTTTTTTTTTGTTCAATACCAAGCTCACTTTAAATTTTAGGGGTTGAGGGAGGTGGTATGTGTATTTATTTAGCTCTGGGCCAATAAGGTGTTCATATTACTTAACCATGCCATTTTTGGCAGGACTACAAAGCAATGTTTCTAACGGAGTCCTTTTTATAAGTTCAGAATATTCTGTTAACAGCACTTCATTACTGTCTCCTATATCACAGTGAATCTTTTGTGTTTATATATAAATATTTGTTTGATTCTTCAGCTATTTGGTTTATTCTTTTTTCGTAATAGAAAAGCCTTGGGTATTGATGAAAAAGCATGTTAAAGGCTGTGGCATAACGATCTTGTTCTTCTACCAAGTTTATAGTTTTGAAAGGAAGTAGCATGTCTAAACCACACCTGTACCTGTTTTGAAGTTCCATTAGTTGTTAGGGACCCCAGCCCTTTTACAGGCATCGTCCAGGGTTGACACAGCCACTTCCTGGTGTGCTTTTAGACTCGTGTGGTCGGCTGTAGGGTTTGTTTATTTTGTTTTGCTCTGAGACTCCTCTGCTGACTCTGATCTTCCATATCTTTGGGGGGTGATTTAGATTTCACTTAGTATTAGTCTTGAGAGATTTAGTTGGCTAGTTTTAGGTACCAGAGGAGCCCCGACTGTGCCTGCTTGGTCTACAGAGCTGCCCTGCAGAAACCGGGGTAGATCAAGGACTTGGCCCCCCCCCGCCCGGGCTGGTGCTGTGGCTGCTGGGTTCACGTGAGCAAATCTCAACAATGTCTGTCACAGGTTAATAGGACCAGGTGTGTTTATAATGCTACCTTTAGTTTTCATTCTAAAAATGGCATTTCTTTGATTTTCCTTTGTTCCAAGAAGGCTCCCAATATAGACCCTCACTCTAAGAATAGGAATAGGTTCACTAGCGAGGTCTAGCTTGGCACATCTCAACTAACAGCTTCCCTTTGTGATTTGAGCTCACGTCCTGCTTTCGAAGATTCCAGGCCAAGAGGAAAAATTTGTTGCTCAAACTGCAAACCTGTACAACTCCAGTAGGAGAATTTAAAGGCAGAGAGTTAAGGGGAATAGTTTTAGTGTTTTATGGAAAGAAAATACAAAGGAAAAAGCAAAATGAACAAAATCACATAAATCACAGTATCTCTGAGTTAGATCCTTAGATAATTTCGAGGAACTGGGTCTGGTTCTTAAATCTCCCTTTAATATACTCTAAAGGAACCTGTACTCTTCTGGTATGGAAAACGGGAATTGTGTTAACCGTGCAAATTATCTGTGTTTTTTTTGACATAAGCACTCGTGGTATAGAAATTCAAAGGCGGTTGATAATAACTTAGTAATCTAGTGTGGCATTTAGTGATGTGGAGGGTTGGGGTCGTTAAAGACTTTAAATGAACTATTACATGGCTGGTTCCTCAAGCACTACTGTGTATTTAATAACGAGCTTCTAAAAGCATTTCTTAAGTTGCAGACCTATAAGATTACAAATGTCACTCATGTTAGTATAATCCACATGCAAGTGATGAAGCCTTCTCTTTGATGTGCTAAATTGGAGAAGGACTAATGGAGCTATGAATATACAATAGAACATATTTAAGTAGTAGTCTTGCTTTAGGTAAAACACTTTCTTGAAACCAGAGGCATTTCAAACAATAAAATCTGGCTCTAATGGGGATGCTCTGTGCGGATAGGAAGCTACTAAAAACACAGGTTTATTCTGATGTGAACAGTGATTGTGTTCCTGCCCCAACCCCAACATTGCTTAGGAAGAAAAAAAATCCACAGCTTATTCACCTTAACATCCCTTGCATTTGCAATGTTAGTGAGATGTACTCCGTTCTTTTGAAAGGGCTTATTTAATATTAACCACATCATGGAGTAAGTTGGTCCCCAGTTCTTCAAGCAAGTGCAATTAAAAATAAAAGCAAATGTTACTAAGCCCTGCTGAACTCCTGATAAAAAATGTTTGTGATACATATAAATGTCTCAGTCATGGAAATTGTCACTCTTGCTAATGAAACCATTTTGTAAAAAGACTGACCTCTGAGTTTAGTATTTTTTTTACCTGTTTAGTTAGATTTACTTAGATCCCAAAAGGCAGGAGCACCAGAACCAAGTCTTTCCAAACCCAATCATTTGACACAAGAAACTATTTCCAGCACTTCATGATTTATTTGAAATAGTTTAATACGGTAGTGCCTTTCATAAAATACAAAATGAGAAAACTGTCACACCAAAATGAAGCCTGTGAAATTGTCATCCTCTTCATATTAACTACTTAAATTCTTTTGCCCTTATTAACACTGATATTTGAAACAACTAATCATCTAAAATGAAGCTCTTAAATGGCTTTAAATGTCAATATCATAAGCTTCTACTGTGCACTACTATTTATATAAAATACTTCTTAGGACCAATAAACGAATCAAACAAACAGTGACTCCAAGTGCTACATGTTAACAGATGAGTGAAGCGTCTCCCTGTAACCTAAATAGTTGTATTTAGATCAGGAAGAGGTTTTCTGAAGACCTTTGCCCATGAATTCTGTCCTGAGTGCTTGCACACTTACTACCCTTTGAGAGGCCTTTGGAAACAGACCATTTATTTACAAGTTGGCATTACTTGTCACTGTTTCTAAGACTCACCTATTGTCAGTCCAGCCAAGTCACAGAAATGCTTATTGCAGTTAAATAGCAATTTGTTTCCATGAAACTGCAATTAAAGTATTACTGAGCAGCCATTTTAGATTGGCAATGCTCTGAACGCATGTTAAACAGTCAGCAACTCCCACTTGCAGAGTCTGAGGCCTGACTAGCAGCAAAGTGTGGCAGTTTCGCCCATGTTGGGTATCTAGTTAAGAGGCATTTGTAGCCCTCTGCTCCCATATGAACATGCTGAGAGCACTGACAAGTCAGGGCTGATTTTTGGAAGGTGAACGTGCAACTTACCTCAAGTGAATACTATTTTCAGTGGTACAGAAATGCTTTATGCTAGAGATATGTGCATGTTTCCTAGAGGGAATGTTTTCAAGTTCAGATTGATTCTGCTGAGAATGGACTGCAACTCCGAGGCCTCCAGCCAATAATGTACTACAGGTCCTGACATGTTACAGCTGTGTAAACAGGGCCATTCTATCGCCTAAATCACAACTAATAAAGCATAGGATGAAAATCAATTGATTCTGTTATAAGTTCTTTGAATGACACTGGAAAGTTTAATGACTCTGTGGTAGAATGGGCAAGGCTGAGTTGAGCCACTCAAATACCTATTCTCATCGCCTGTCTTTCTCCCCTCACAACCTGAGCAGGATGGCCCTTCCTGGGTATTAGCATCACCAGCACCAGATCAAAACCTGCTAGGAAAAGAGGTTCTGAACGAAATTCTTCCTGCGGATCTAAAGTTAGGATTTGTTGAGTGAGAAAGGTGAAGGGCAAAGGTTTTATTGAAAATGCGAAACGTTGATGTAAGATCCTGAGAGAGGAAAGGATTTCAGAGGTGGTGTTTAAAAATGCAATTAGCACTGAATTCTAACCAGCCTAGAAACAATCATTAGCTCACGAGAACAGGAGGTATCTCACCTTCCTTCAGCCTAGAAATTTCCCCCTACCTGAATCAAAGGGTTTATGTCCTCAACTTTTTCAAAAACAGTTTTCATGTGCCTCATATCTATTTGTAGGCTTTCACCTGTGTTGTTTGAGTTGTAATTTTTTGTAAGAGGAAAACATTGACTAGTTTCTTCCTAAATTAATTTTTCATTTCAATGAATTAAATGTTTTTAGGAACTGAAAAGGGAGACACTGAAGACAAACAGAATTTACAAGTGAAGATTAATTACGAAAAATGGAAAGAAAATTGTTTGCTTGGGCTGCAATTGTATGCCTTTTTCCTTATTTAAATAAGGTTAGGTAGAGATGGGTGTGTCATATTTTTTTTTTCTGATTCAGTTTCTGTCATCAATCATGGGACTTACACTTACACGTTCCATAAACCTCACCTCTCGAAATATAATGAATGTTTAATAACTTCATCATGCTTTGTACATGTATTTATATGTTAACATGTATGGGTAATAAGTTCTTACATATATTATCTCACTCAGTCCTCACAATAATCCTCTTAATTATTATTATTGCCTCTGTTTTACAGATGTGGTCACTAAAGTTCAGGAGGGTGACTTATTAAGCAGGGCCAGGACTAGAGTGAGGGGAATGGACGTTTTCTTTGGGTGCAAAGTTTAAGGGCGGGGGGGCAAAAAAAATCAATAATAACGTTATGTTCTGATGGGATATATTTAACAAGCAACTACAGAAACATCCATGAGGAACAAAATAGCACAATTTTAGACAAAAGCAGCATGATAACTTCTCTTTCCTCTTGCCTCAGGGTCCAATGTATCTGGGCACTGTTATTAAGGTCCAAAACTGCCAAAACTGCTATTTGAACCCCAGCATTTGGGACATTTGGTAGTATTGCCTTATAAATTGCTAGACTGCAACAATAATATACTTTATTCCATGAGCTATAACTAGGTTTTTTCTTCTCCGTAAAAAACTAACATATTGCATTTTATCTTTATCCAACCTGGAATGCCAACTCATTTAGATTGCCTGCATATTTTTGCCTTGCTCTTTCTAAACGAAATTTCTTTTGAGTTTTGATAAATCTTAACTACTTCATGATAAGTAAATAAGTATAATTGATAACAGCTCTGCCCACAAGTTGTTCTGAGGAAAAAGAGCAAGGCTTTAGTAATCATATTAGCCCAGGAAGCAAAATGGATAAATATATTCCATACAAAGCAGTAAATGGTATGTTTAAAATGTTTAAATGAGCTGTAGCTTGAATCTGCAGATAATATGTGTGGCAAATAAAATGTCAATGAATTCAATGATGTAAAAGCATATACTTTTTAAGTATAAAAGAAGTAA